CGCCTTGCTCAAGGGCACCTCAGTCGTGGTATTGAAGGTGGAAGAGAGTGCTGTACATTCCCTCCCCCCACCTACAATCCCTGCCGGTACGAGACTCGAACCCGCAACCTTGGGTTATGAGTCCGACTCTCTAACCATTAGGCCACGACTTCCCCTAACACCCAAGCCAGTGCTGTTAGCGCTACATAGTTCAATAATAGGGTCAGTGCTACCCTTACGAAAATTAACCAGGGTATTACTGCAAATAAAAATACAAATGGCAATCGATACGCCAAAAATTCGAACTTATACCTGAGACATGTAGAGTCATCTATCAGGTTCTCAAAGAAAGACATCTTAAGGTATGCATTCCGATCCTCACCACTTTGGTTTAATCAATATGTCATTATAATTACCTTATTGCAAAGAATAAGTGGGTATCCGCTCTGTTCTTCTCGTTTGAAGTATGCGCATCGTTATGGGAACTGTCCGGTCAGGTGGTGCTGAACAAAGCCAGTGCTGTTAGCGCTACATAGTTCAATAATAGGGTCAGCGCTACCCTTACGAAAATTAACCAGGGTATTACTGCAAATAAAAATACAAATGGCAATCGATACGCCAAAAATAAACAAACAAATAAATAAAATGTTTTTACTATAATTAAACCATGGTTAATTTATTTTCATCAGGGTAAACTATGCACAGAGATTAATGCACAGTAGTATATAAATGCATGTTATTTACAACATCTCAATCTGCTTATAAAGACTGCTCAAGCTGTTATTAAATGGTACATTCCTTTCTGCTATTAAGATTATTTTTCATTTTCTATATAGGTTTGGGAACAAAACAAAATACTCTTTTTGGAAAGAGACAAGAATAAAAACTATACTTTAAAAAAGTGATTCTTTATTAGTGTCAATTACTAATTTAAATTCTTATTTTAAAATATCTGGGAGACCATAAAACTAGGTAAACTTAGAAATACATGCAGGTATAACTATAGGCTTATACAAACGAACAAACATACAGTACAAACACACAGAGTGAGACCTGAACATTTACCAGCCCTAATAATAATAGTAATAATAATAATAAATTTTATTGCAGCAGCAGCAGTAACAACAATATTTTGTTTGTATTGTTTGTAACTTAGCAAATTAGGAACACATAATGAACGAATGTGATTTAATTTTATTCTTTCTTAAATCAATCAACAAAATTCCTAAATGTTCTTGTTTATTTATTTGCAGACATTATTTCACATAATTGCATTATGGAATGTACAAAAACTTCTTTTACTACGCCTTTTTTTCCCTTTAGGCTGGACCTTTTCCTCCTCCTCTTCCCTTTCTTGTTCTTGCTCTTCTTGCTCCTGCTCTGTATCATCACGTCTGTCATCATCTTCACCCTCCTCAAGTGAAGTAGTAGAGTCCTGTAAAATAGTGTTTAAAAATGATTAATTCATGATTTATTTACAAATGTATTATTATCTTTTCCAGTGCCCTACAACAGCAGATGAGTGGAAAAAAGTATCCGAAGGATTCCAAACCACAGCAAAATTTCCCAGTTGCTTAGGGGCTTTGGACGGGAAACACATACGGATTAGACCCCCCCCTCACTGCGGAGCACAGTTCTTCAATTATAAACACTTTAATTCGATTGTTATGATGGCTTTGGTTGACAGCAATTATAGATTTCTTTATGTTGATGTAGGGTGTAATGGAAGGGTATCGGATGGTGGAGTATTCAGAGGGTCAACACTGCAAGAGTCTCTAGAGCAGAGAACTGCAAACATTCCCTAACCCACTCCATTGCCAGGGACAGACATGTCAATGCCATTTTTTGTTGTGGCAGATGAAGCTTTTCCTCTGAAATCATACTTAATGAAGCCTTTTGCCAGGAGAGGGCTTTCCAGAGAACAGAGAGTCTTCAACTACCGGCTATCCCGTGCCCGCCGTATTGTTGAAAACACCTTTGCGAACAGATTTAGGGTTTTTTTAAGCACAATTGATCTTGATCCAAATGTTGTGGAGGTTATTGTTCTTGCATCATGTGCCCTGCACAATTATTTACGTGATGAATGTGGCAATGCATATCTGTGTGGACTAACTGATCAGGATGGGCAAGAAACCTGGAGGCAAGACCCTCCCCTGCAACAGGCAGCGCTGCCACGGTCCACAAATGCAAGTAGCGAGGCCAAGCAAAACAGGGAAAGGCTGATGGAGTACTTTAACTCAGAGGCAGGAGCTGTTCCTTGGCAATGGGATAGACTATAGTAAATCATTTCCACATCCATACCCAGATAATGTACATAACATGTAAACTAATATTAAACTGATGGTAACAGTAAAATATGAGAGCTACACATTTTATATGGTTAATTTAAATTAAACTACATTTTTAAACAGAGGTTGATAGAAGTACTTTAATTCTGAGAGGTGAGCTGTCCATGGCAATGGGCTGAATTGCTGTAAATATTTCCCTGCACCCACACCCAAATCAACATATTGTATTAAATAAACTCACATTTTGAACATAAAGGTTTGATGTTGAGGGTCGTTTATTCATGTGTAGCTCTAAAAACTTAAGTCTCCTCAAAAACCATTCCTGCCTTGGAGTGAGATTTCCTCCGCTACCAGAGGGAGGGGATTTCAAATATCTGCTGTACTGTGTCCTCATATTGTCCATTTTCTTCTTTACCTCAGCTTCTGTGAAACACAAATAATTGAAGATGATACAGTATTAGTGCACTTATGTATAGAAAGTGCAGGAACAAATCACAAAGTGTCATGCCATTTAGATGACTAACTACAAATAAAACTAAACTACAAATACACTGTGGTTTGAAGGATACTGAGCGGGGTGCACATGCGACACGGATTAAATAGTAAATAACTATATCTAAATAACTGGCTCATCTTGTCTACATAAACAGAATATTAAAGATGACAAAGGAAGGCCGTGTGTGTTGCAAGTTTAAATTCACACTGAGCAAGCTACAAAACCTCAAACAGTTAACGTTACTTTGTAGCATTTTAGTGCAAGCCCGTTTACCAAACAACTTTGTAACCATTTGCTTGCTAAGACACTCCATTGAAACAAAATTGCGACCCACAAGCGTGTAACCATGGTAATATTGTAAGGCAGTTTTATTATTATAATAATAATATATTGTCAAATAAATTTCCGTTGTATTTAATTATTGAGGCGAATCATAATATACCAACCTGAAATCCCAAGCGCTGTAGCGACCGATCTGATCGCATTCCCCCTCGCGTTGCGGTTGGTATACTCGGCCACACCCACCGCATAAAGCTCTGGCCTCTCCTCCCAAAGATCCAAAAACTGTTCCTCTTTCTGGTTTGTCCAGAAACCTGCCATTTTTAAAGTTATTTTCCTAAGCGCGCCCAGCACCTACTTGCAGTTTTGCCTCATTGTCATGGCAACGGTTCGTGGCCAGGTCAGATTACGTCAGAGTTTGTTGTCGTTTGTTGGAAAATCATATCACACTGCTCAGACATTCCACGACCCAACAAACGCCGATTAAACATGTTCAGTCGGGTTAAAACCGACTCCGACCAACGCCAACAAACGCCGACAGGGGTAACACACTGATCCAACAAACTCCGACAGACTAGTCTGTTGGCGTTTGTCGGTGCGGTGTGAATTGGCCCTATGATAAGATGCATGTTAAACAGCTTTCTTTGTGCTTGTGAGTGCTGCTTCGGCCAGAGGCATGAGTGAGAGTTAGGCATCTGAAGGGATGAGAAAGTGCTTTCAGGCCTGATCATGAGAGCAGGAGGCTGAGGCAGGGTTCAGAGATGATCCGCTCCTCATAGTCCCACCAGCAACATGGATGATTTCAGCAGGACGCGCACCAGCTCAGACAACACCGGTGAGAAAAACTTATTTAATATTTTGGCTTGTTTTATTTCCACGTTTTTTTTGTATATATTTAAGAAAAAAATATAATTTTAAGATTGTTTATTGATCAAGGCAGAACTCTTGAGCAGGCATTGCAGGACTCTAGAGGGAGATTATGAAGCAGAATTAACCCCTTAACTGTCACCCCCCATTTTTTAAAATAGGCATGCAGGTGCACTATCCAAACTTAAATTGTTGTAATTTATGAACACTTTGGAATACAGACATAAGGTTGGTCTCTTTTTAAAGAAGAAAATCAGCAAATTATAGCAAAAGTGGAATTTGTTCAAAAAGTTAAGTATCAAAAAGTTATAGTGGTTTAAATTTACTGTAAAGAAAATGCACTATATTAATTTTATTTTATATATAATAAATATTTTACATATCAGGTTTTACTCTAAAATTGGTATAAAATTATAGCCTTATGTCTAAATAAGTTATGTTCCAAATTTGAAGTTGATATGAAAAAAATTGAGGTTCCTGTGAGATTTTATTTAGGGCATTATACC